ATTTGGCCTGGTCAGTTGAAATCCACAAGCGGTTATTGTAGTTACAGGTGAGATGTTGGGCCAGTTTGGGACTGTGGACACAGCCCTTAAAACAAGTCCATACTCGGTGTAGAATCCAAACTCATTCCTGGGCTTTGGCTGTATTTACCAAGAAATTAACAATAAGACAGTTTAGACCATGCTTTCTAACCACGCTTGGCTACTCTTTCTCCTTTATTTCTCAGGGCCACCATGCCCTGACCTTACATCATCTTTCCATAGAAATCTGCTCCCATCTCCCACGTGTCCAAGTACCAGTATTGAATAATTTGCCATACCTGTTCTAGGACCAATTGGCCCCTGATATCAGGGTGGAGCATTTTAGGTGCATGAAGCCAACTAGTTACAGGCACTCTCACGATGTCACCAGCCAGAGAGGGTGACTCAGTGGCCATTTACCATTATCAGGTTCTGTCGCATTAGATGATAGGAGTCCTTAGACAACGTTATTGTCAGGACCGATTAATGCTATCTAATCTGATGGAAACATAGGATTATAGGAACGTAGGGCTGGAAAGGACCTCCTGAGGTCATCTAGGCCAGTCCACTGCACAAGGCCATCAGTGCTTGCTACTTGAAGCCACACACAATGGCAAGTTAGGAGTTGAAATCCAAGAAATGATTTATCCACGAGTCTGCTAAGAAATGTGCTAACAAAGGAGAGGCTTTTTATCTGGTTAACCAGCAAACTCAGTGCCCTCTACTAGGAGACTCCTGACAGCCATGTGAGAGCACTCACCCAAGGGTCACACACCATGTCATGTTCTTGCACTAGTGTTGGGAGGAAAGTACAAAATACAATACTCACCATCCTCCACTCCATTCCTTCCTCTCTTTTGTATGCCTTTCCCTCACTCTGAACACCCCCAGTTCTGTGCTCCCCTGTCAGGATGCAACCTACCTCGATAGAAAAGGGAAGAAAATTCTCCTCTTCACGTTCCACAGGAGAATGGCTATAGGGGCCTGCTTGAGCCCATGGAGGCTGAGATACGAGATACTGGGCCAGATGCACCTGTGTTCCATTTCTTATGTGTTTGCGCATGGTTTGTAGCACACTTTGGGAAAGACTGAACATCAGATGGGGTAATCAGTATTACAGCTCCCGCTGGGGTCTGTGCATCACTATTCTGCACCTCTCCCCTTCCCACATGGGCAATATTTAACTGCAGTAGCCTGATCCTGCTGCTCTAGGTAGCTCAGACCACTGCACCTACTTAAAGACTGAACATTTGTCAGCCATAAACAGCTGTAATCCATAGCGGCTCTAACTCACACTCTTGTACTGCTGCCAAGGTAATTAGCATACCGTGTATATTAAAAGAGTTATTACTCTTGCCGGAGCAGACTGACAGGATGTGCACACACAGCGCTAAGTTCTTCCTGAGATGGGAAGGAGTATGCAGAACAGCGAGGGTCTGGGTATACCGTTTTCCCAGGGACTTTTATTTATTTATTTATTTATTTTTTAATTGAGGGTGCTGGGTCATGCAGGAGGTTGGCAGAGAGCTAGGGAGCCTGTTTACATGAAGGTTGCTGAGTGAAATCTAACCCAAAGCAGGAGTGACAGAAGTGCCCGTCCAGAGTGGAGGTGCAGCAAGATGGAGGTCTCAGGTCTGTACCTTGTACACTGGCCTCTGCACCCAGAGCCCTGTCATACTGTCATCCTTGCTGTAATGCCAACTTGGAGTATTCCAAAAGCATGAGATTAATTTAAAAACTGTAAGATTTTTTTTAAATGCAGAGTTTGGGTTCTTTTGACTTGCTTTCTGATTTCTGACCACAAGCTTCTTATTTGTAAATTTATTATTAGATAAAAAGGGATGTTCTCATGTAATCTTGTGACTCCAGCAGCCCCGGGTGGATCTAGAATTTTGAAGGGAGGGTGCAGATGGTGAGGAGCATCCTCACGTAAGAAATAAACCAACGGCTTTACTAATATACTAGGGACATAGGGCTGTATCATTCAGTTTAAGATTGAAGCAAAAACAAATATAACTTCATTGGACTGAGTTACAAACAATCTGCAGGGCTGTGAAATAGGAGCTTCATTACCAGGAGCAACTCACAGACCACCGAACTGCAGAACAGAGGATAGCTTGATTGGTGTAATATCAAAACCATTAAAAGAGGAGAGGGTTGTTAAGATACGACATAAGTTTAGCTCACTGCTCCAATACCAAAAGATTACATATCTGTTCCTGTTCCTACTGAAATCAGCAGTAAAGCTGTTATAGTAAACTAAGGACTTTGACTCCTGGGTCTAGCCTCTGGGCTGGTAGAGGCTAGAACAAGATGGGAAGGAAAATAAGTGGTCAGACTCCTACAAAGAAGTTTGGGGCACAGAGCCAAATAATTGTACTGTTTTAAAGAGGGGATGGATTTGCCAGATTTAAAGCACTCTAGGCACTGCTCCCAGAACTGCTTAATCTGTCCACACCTATCACATGGTAAGTCAAAGTTACACTGAGACAGCTTGCCCCTGAATAGAACAAGATTAAGTTACTGCAGTTTAGCTGCAGTTACTGCAGGATAGTAGCAGACTGTCTAAACAGTTACAATCCATTGTCTCTGCTGCCACACTCTCCCTAGGGTATCTCTGTACCTCAGTTCCTTTTCCGTCTCTCCTCCCTCTCGTCTGCATCCATTTATTCTTAGCTTCTTTTTTGTCCCTGTGATAGTGGGATCTGAGATTTGATATTATATAAAATGCATATTATGTATGTTAACATCCTTATGCAGTCATGTGATTCTGCAGAGCGTTATCCTTGCAGTCTTACTGATCAGGTCTGTGACATTTTAGGTCTTGTTTAAATGCAGAGATTCCAGGGTCTATTTTGAATTTCTGTTCCAGCCTTTGGCACAAGCCATGAGATTTCCCACAGTGGTTCCAGCCTCAAGCCCCATAACTATTCACTGAGCTAGACCATGCATTTCAGCAAGTCATCCAGTCTTGGTTTACATGTGACTGCTTGTCTGGTGTCAGGCTGTCTTACCTGCCTTGATGAGGTCAGCTGTCCAAATGACAAGAAGGGGTGTCTGCTGCAGAGCACATCTTCTTTGAAAGATAAGGGGCCAGATATCCACATCAGTTATGCCACTGTGTATTCAGAGCAGCCCCATAAATTTCAGGGATGTTACTCCAGATGTATACTGATGGAGTAGAGATCAGAATCTAGCACAATGTTTGGAATATTTATAAAGCAAACTGTTGGAGTCATGTTGTAACCGTGAAGGTCTTGGACATATCCAAGAGGCAATGAATTTCATAGAATCATAGAAAATTAGGCTTGGAAGTGTCCTCAGGGGGGCACATCTAGTCCAACCCCCTGCTCAAAGCAGGACCAGCCCCAACTAGATCATCCCAGCCAAGGTTTTGTCTAGCCAGGTCTTAAAAGCTTCCAAGGATGGAGAGTGCACAACTTCTCTGGGTAGCCTGTTCCAGTGTTTCACCACCCTCCTAGTGAGAGTTTTTTCCTAATATCTAGCCTAAACTTCCTTTGCTGCAATTTGAGATCATTACTACTTGTTCTGTCATCTGCTACCACTGAAGACAGCCCAGCTCCATCCTCTTTTGAACCCCCCTTCACATAGTTGAAGGCTGCTATCAAATCCCCCTCAGTCAAATCCCCCTCAGTCGTCTCTTCTCCAGATTAAATAAGCCCAGTTTGGTCAGAATCGTGGTGCCCAGCCCCCTAACCAATTTCCTTGCCCTCTGCCGGACTCTCTCCAATTTGTCTACATCCTTTCTGTAGTGGGTAATATCTTTATCACTAGGTTTGTGGATGATATCTTTTATTTCAGTCTTCTCCATTGCTGAATCTTTAGCATTAACAACATATCCATACTTTTACTGTGTTAAGTTGGTTGAAGGTAGAAGATTGGCTCTATATTATAAATAACAGGAGTATTTCATTTCTTACAGTTTTTCTTTTCCATTTGCTCCTGCAGTTGTTACAGAGTAATGTTCCAACTAACTTCTTGGTCTCTGTATAATCTCTGGCTCTCTGTGCTTAAATACTGTATCAAGGTTGGTCAATCACAGATTTAAGAAAACATTAGGGAAAACATTACACTATTTCTGTATTAGGCAGACATGCAAAACGAACAGTTTACACCGGGCCCCAGAGATACACGATGAAAACTGGTGAAACTCAGTACAGGCTTACTACTTGGAGCAGAGCAGATGAAAAGGCCTCTTCTACTATGAATAGAAAGCAGGTTGATCAACTTCTGAAGTAAATATGTTCTTTTTCAAAAATGATGTCCAGCCCTGTATGTACAACAGGCAGCTGGGAGAATCCTGGAACATTTTAGTTAAAATACAGGTGCTCCTCTGGTTTAACTATGCAGACAATGTTTTATAAGCTAGTAATCTTGCTGCTGTGCTTCCAAAGTGTCTGATTATAAATACTTGCCAGGAGTTTTGCCTAAGGAAGGAGAGAACAAGATTTTCAGGATTGGGTCTTTTATCATCCCGATACAAAGGATAGAACTTCAGATGAATTGTTTGTAGTTTTTTATTAAATGTAATTTATTAGCACCTAGATCTATGATGATGGGAGCTGTATAAATAGCGATGCCTTCACACCTGCAAGAAGTTGCCCAAGTAGTAATGGATAGTAACAGGGATGGATGAAGCGATCTTGGCTATTATGTCTGAGTATGTGGAACCACTGGCCAGGTAGCCATGTGCTTGCTTTCCATGGAGAACTTCCTCATACAGCTTGTTTTCTTGGGTCCTGCACATGGCTCAGGGCTGAGCCCCCAGCAAACAGGGCGCTATCTGTTGGTGCAGTGAGAAGCGAACTCCTGATCAAACAGAGAAACTTGTAATCACTTGGAGGTTTGAGTGTTGCACCGATGTTGGTCATAAACATGAGTACTTTCTCCTCCTCGTTCCTTACCTTTTCCACAGAAGAGACCAAAGAGTTGTAAATCCCATGTTCTGTTTTATGCATTAGGCTCTGTGGATATCCTCCCTTCTATGATGAAAATGACTCCAAGCTTTTTGAGCAGATTCTCAAGGCTGAATATGAATTTGACTCTCCATATTGGGATGACATCTCTGAGTCTGGTAAGAAATCAATGTAACTGCAGTAGCCATGTCTTGCATCTCTCTCTATATCACTGAATATTTCTACCATATGTACATTCTTAGTGCCATGGTATAGAGATCTCCCAGTAATTGGAGGTCAGTGGGAACTGTGTGTTTCTCCAATCCCAGATTGTTTTTTAAGCATCAAGGGACATTATTTCTATGTGAGTCTCAAATTAGGTATTGTCTCATCCCAGAATAATGCCTAAAGCATTACAACTGGACTTGTTGGAGAATGACATAAAATAGGAATTAGGCCTTCAGCCCCAAGAAGACAGACTGCTTTAATTTTTCCTGCACATCAGAATAACATACAGATGTTTTCATCTGTCTCTAATAATAGAAAACAAAATAACTCAGCTGTGTTACTGAATGTATACTGCTGGTCTGATTGATGAATCTGCGTAATGTAAACAGGAAAGAAACAAAACCCAGGATTTAATGGCTTTCGAATGAAGCAGGACTAAAGCAGCAGGAATAAAAGCAATTGCCAAGTCCCTGGGAAGGGAGGGTTTAAGGTTCAGTAGTTTTAGCACAAACCTAAAGTTCATGAGTCTGACACAGCTTTGCAGTGGAGACCTAAGCACATCACTTTATCTGGAGCTTTGGCCATGTCCAGAATGGGGATAATGACATTCTTTTCATCTGGAGCTCAAGAGGGCAAATCAGTGTTCAGGAAACTTTCTGAGAGTGTGAGATGAAAATATCTCTAAAAGTACTGTCATTACCGTATTGCTAATTATGAATATAGTCAGGCTTTCTTAAAAAGGGTTTTTTTTAAATTGACGATATAATTTAACTTCTTAGTGTGACAAGTTTTCATGCTATTTAAAACCAGTGTTCATGCCACTGCAATGGGCTCCTTAGAGGGAAGGGAGATATTCAGAAGTTCCTAAGAGGTTTAGGAGCACAACTTCAAGTCTACTCTAAATCTTTCAGTGGCTTTTGGAAATCTAGATTTAACTGACTTGAGGAAATTCATTCCACATCTGGCCTCTCCTGTAGACACCATACACCTTGGATACCTTCTGTGCTATGACCCCTGTTCCCCTCATTTTAACACTCCCCCAAGTCCAAGTGAGTTGATAACAAACTCTGCAAGAATGATAGTGAATGTTATTTTTCAATATAATAAAGATAACAGACCCAGTCAGGTCTGAAATGAATGGTGACAAACTTGTGAGACAGTAACCTCTGAGTGTTTCCACCCCAACCCATTCCTACCTGCTTGTCACCCTTGCTTATGGCATTACAGCAGTAATGTAGCATAAGCTCTTTGTGTCAGGATCTGTGTCTGTTTTTGCCATCTGTGCAGCTTTTCCCATGCTTGTGGGGCATCCTGTTAATTAATAATTAGATGGCTTAAATATGTGCTTGAAAACTTTGTCTGCCTGGCCATCCTAATACAGAGCTGGGCTGGGATACTGAGTCATCTTGAAACCTCCAGTTGATAATTGGTGCCCCTGTCTATTCTTGCTGTCCACCATCCCTTTTTCTTGCAGTCCCATGAGCAGCCTCTGTGCAGGTCAGTGGGTGGGGACAGCCCCACTGCCTTATGGTCCGTACACCAGTATCGTTTAGATGGACATGACCTCTTAGACACCACTTCGCATTGCCTTTTCAGTCTCTGAACCTATTGATTTCAGTTACTTTGTCTTTTATGCAGCTAAAGACTTTATACGAAACTTGATGGAAAAAGACCCTAATAAAAGATACACCTGTGAGCAGGCTGCCCGGCACCCATGGTAAGTAGCTAACTCATGACTTCTGTTGTGATACCTCGAGAAATGGTTTTACATTATGTGTTTGAGGGAGACAAATGCTGGTTCAGCCATGCTGTACACTTGCCTTTGTTGGGTGACGCTCTCTCTGATTGCTCTAACCCTTGAATTTGTATGTCAGCCCTCCCTTCTTCTTCAGCTACATCTGAAACTGTGCCCTCTTCCTGCAAAGATGCGATTCAGTTTAAGTTTGTGCATAGTCCCATTCAATCCATTGTCTAATTACTCGGTCAAGTATTGCTCTCAGTTGCTAACATTGCCACAGTGGGTTTGCATCAGGATAGCAGCATTAAAAATCAATGTTTCTAATGTTAGGCAACTACCTACATGTAAGAATTTCATTGAAGTAATATCAAAACACATCGCAACAGCCCTGTGGAATAGGGAGGTATCACCCCTATTTCACAGGTGAGGCAGATGATAGCCTGTGTGATTGGCCCAACATCATGCAGAAAGCAAACCCAGATCTCCTAACACTCATGCCTCTACCCTCTCCACTAGGCTCAGGGTGACCAAGATGTGGCCTGTATCTGGCCCATGAAACAGTGTCATCTGGCCCGTGGAGCTCCCCAAAGGTCGAGAAATTTGACTGCGTGGCATGTGCTGGCAGTGTTAATTACCACAGCTCCTGGAGCAATTAACATTGTCGCTGCTTGCCACACCACCAAATTTCTGAATCCATGGGGAGCCATGCAGGCCAGATCTGGATCACAGAGCTACATCACCTAGCCCATGGGGCTGCTTGCAGGGCTGGGAATTTGGCCACGGGAGGAGCAGTGGCTGCTGTGGAAATCACAGCAATTAATGTTGTCAGCACCAATTTCCAACCACGTGGGATGGACGACGTGGCCCTGCACTCCAGGTCCAGCTTGCAGACCAGCCCTGTGCCGCTTATCTCGCCCAGGAAGCCAGAGCAGTTGGACACCACTGCACCAGGCGATCTTTCCAGCCACATGCAGAATTAGGGCCCTTCAGCACACAAGCCATTACCTGTCCTCGGAGGTGCTCCCTTTGGGCACTCCACAGTAATGATAACTGCAATGCTGGGGATGCTGGACCGGATGGCTGCGTTTTTGCACTCGGGGTGTACAGTGTACTGTATATCCCTGTTGTTGCAGCTACAGAACTGTTGTTCATTTCTCCAGTTTTCATGCAGCTGGTTGGATGGTCCAGTTACCTATCTATTCCCTCACACCTCAGGTTCTTGCTCATACTCTCAGCCATTCATAAGACTTCTAAGCTTGAATAATAATTAGTTCAGTGGTTTGATGTTCTGCCAGCGGCTCCTAGCAGGGGAGCTTGAGCACAGCGGGACATATTCTGCACTTGATTACACTGGACAGTCCTCCTGCAATATTGCGCAGACTGCAGCCATGTAAAAGCACGGACATAAAATGAACTTGAAGAGGGGTGAAGGTAACCCCCTTCTGCAACAGATAGATATAGCTGGAATGTGTAAAATCATTAAGATCTCTGCCACGGCAAGATACGAGATACTGGGCCAGATGCACCTGTGGTCCATTTCTTATGTGTTTGCATGTGGTTTCTAGCACGCTCATGTGCCTTTCTACCACTAAAACATGAATTGGTTTGTACTGCACAGTTTATAAATTATACTGCTTAGAAAAGCACCACGTTTACCTTGCTTGCAACCATGTTAACTGTTAGCACAACTTCTGGAAAGACAGAACAAATAATGTGGTTTAGAGTCAAGGGAGCTGTGATCCTTCTCTAAAATTCACTGGTTTGTCTATATTTCATTTCCACCTTGAGTTATAAAACAGCATGATAGGGAAATCTCAGTTTTTACAGTAGGAAACTCAATCTGCAGCAGATTATGAAGTTTTGATGATAATCTGATTACAAGGCACATTGCAGCTGCCCAATGCTTATTAACCAGAAGATAACATTCATGAACATTCATTTTCATTACTCCCCACCCCCCAACAGCATGTTGCATTATGTGACATAATGAAATGAGACATAATTTCATGTGTCCTATATGAGGGCACTTCATCCCAGTGCACTAGCACATTTCAAACAAGGTTGGTTTCCTTTCTGATTGCAGTTCCAAAAACTAGGGTTATAATTTGCCCTCATCATTGATTAATGATGTGGGACTTTTGATGCAGAGCAATAGACTGTAAATGTGATAGTCCTGGAAGACTTGATGTAACGACTGTCATGTAATGTGCCATCCCAGACATTGACTGCAGACTGGTTGTGATTACAAACTATTTAATTACAAATTAGAGCCCTTAAAAACACAGGGAGAAAAACAATAAAAGAAGAATAAAGCATTAGGCATGGAAGATGCTTTGCAAATCATTTGGAAAACAAATTATTTGTCTTCCTCCTCCTCTCTGCCCATTATCCTAAATGTGGTAGAGGTGCGTATTAGCAATATTGATGGCTGACTTGAGCATGCATGAGAAATATGGAGAAGTCAAAACATAAGTAATTGCAGTTTCCCGTGGCCCTTTGATAACTATCTATTATCTTTGTGGCAAAAAGGAAATTTGGAAAACTCTGTCAGAGGCTTTTGTAAGAGGCAAAAAGTAAGTGTTTTTTAATCATGAACCTGAGCCCCAGGAAACAAACAAGTGGTAAGATTTGACATTCTAACCACAAAGAAAAGGACACAAAATGCAACTCCCAGTAGAGACCTGGGTGACCGTGCATATTTCTGAAGGACAGTTTCCCCAAGTTATTTCCAAGATACACAACATATGTGAATCCAAGTCTTGGCCTGGTATTATCTGTGTTGGTTGCTGGAATACAGCAAAGAAACGTGGCAACTGCATCTTGAGCTCTTGAGTCCTCTGACAGGAACATAATGATACAGAATGCTTTCATTCCTTTTTTTTTCTTTTTATTTTGCATGTCATGGCTGGAGGCCAGTGGAAAATCATTGACTGATCCATAATATTTGATGTTTTCCACAGAATCCAAGCTTCCACTTAAAAACAAACAAAAATACATTTTTAGCCATTTCTATTGCTGCCAGGCTGGCTTTACAAGGCAGTCGTTTATTTATTCATAAGGCCCCTTCCCAGCTATGTGGACCACAGCTTACGGTTCAGCCCAAGAAGCAGAGTCAACAGAAACGTTAATTTATGTGCTTGGTCATCCAGTCTTTCCCCACAGCAGGGAAGTTTAAAAGTATGAACTTCCTTCCCCCTTCAACCCAACATCCCACTCCCTGAGCCATTAACAGCAAAGCACAGCTGAGAGCTTAAACATGTACATGGTAGTGCAACAAGGGTGGAAGAGGCAGCTTCAGAGTAAAGCAAAGTCAAGAGATGTGGGTTCCAGGCCAGGTTCTTTCCCAGGCAGTGTGCTCTTGAGGAAGTCATTTAGTCTCCCGTTCTCTCTCTCTTCAGCGTAACTTTATTACCTCAACTTAAAATAAGGGCGGTAGCTATGCACTTTACTGAGTGGCTATGCACCTAAACCATGCCTTCCTGATATTGTGTCATGCCTTTCCGATATTGAAGCCGGGCCAGTCTAGAATGAACCAAACATGCACTTGTTTTGTGCCTCCTATTTGGGACTTCCTCTGTTGTGTTGTGATTGTGCCTAGCAATCCTCCAAGTGAATCTTTCTTCCTATTTAGGGTTTTCACTTGTTCCTCTGCTATTCCAAACCTGCAATAAGCAATCTTGCCTTCAGTTGGAAGGCAAGGGACAGTAGCCTCTTGATTTATTGAGTTACCTGACAGTGGAGAGGGAGAGTCTTTGTGATGTCAAGGTCTCTGGATTTCCTTTGGGAATTCAGCTGTTAGGTCTGTGTGACTGGAAGGAAACATATCATTGTGTCCAATGCCTGGACATTTACAGGACTCTATGAATGGAAGTCTGAGTCTGTTCCTGAGGCCTTATCTTCCATTGTGCCACACAGTCATAATACGATGTAAAATAACAACTATAGTGGGAGATCCAGAACTTGTCTGTGTAAGTTTTCAGATGTTTAATCAACTTTAAGGGCTCTACTCATTTGGAAGACTGACCTTCTAAAGCAACAGCGCTTGCTTCTCAGGGTAATGTTGTGCTGAATCGAGACATGCATGATTCCAGGATTTTGCATGAAGATCCCGTCGGAATGAATGATGCTTTTCTGCAGGCTTTATAGATGTAGACATACTCTCATCTCATCTGTTATACTAATTATTTATCATTTGTATAGTGTCAAGAGTGGACCGCATATTGTATGTCCAGCTATGAATGAGTCAAATGAAGCCTATGGCTTCACATTTTTAAAAGGATGTGGAGAGTCTGAGAGCATCCAGAGGCGGGCAATAAAAATGCTCAAGGGCAAGACCAGTCATGAGAAAAGGCTGAAGGAGGTAGCTTGCTTAGCTTGTGGAAAAGGCACTTAAGAGGGGACATGATACTTAAAGGGCTGTCCTAAAGAAGCTGTCTTCAGATACCTAAGGGGCTATCCTAAAGAAGAGGAAAAGCACCTCTACTCTCTTGCCGCAAAGACAAGGACGTGGACCATTAGCTTGAAGTTGCAGCAAAGTAAGTTTAGATTGGATGTCTGGACATCTTCTTCACTCTGTGAGAATAGTGAGGCAGTGCAGTAGGCTGCCTGGGGAAGCTGTGGACTCTCCATCGCTGGCGGTGTTCAAGAAAGGGTTGGACAGGCACTGGTTGGGGATCTCGGCGTAGCTGTGCCTGTGTTCTACTATAGGCATGTCTCATGCTTCTGGGCTTTGCTGGTTGCCCCCCCCATACTTTCTGCTATATGTATTAGGGTGTTTTTAAGGCTTCCTCAAAGGCATTAGGTGTTGGTGACAGTCAAGGCTGGGGACTTTGACTGGGCTGTACCAGTGCTCCTGCTGGGAACAAAGCTGGAGGTTCCTGACTAGAAGGTCTTACCCCTCTGCTCAGCATCAGACCGATCACCATATTTGGGGTCAGGAAGGAATTTTACCCCATGGTCAGATTGGTGGGGACTGTGGG